GGCAGTAAAATTTCCCTGCCATGCATGGGACCACCCATTGTTATGGACAAGAACCTGAAACCATTAATAAAAGAATGGTATTTTAGGGGAAAAAAGAGGACATTACAATGTTATAGACAATCAAGGATTATGTATATTTAATGCGTAAAAATGTCTCATGATAGTTATCCTTACAAGAGGATATTTGACTTAAATAAATATGATCTATTCCTTCAAGAGTCTGACCCGATGCATCAATATTGACCTTTGTGTTACTGACAAAGGATCACATTAAAAAGCTGCGAGACATTGACCAGAGCATCAAATCAATAACCGTCTCCAACCAGGGAGGGAAAAAAACAAAACAACAGCCTTTCTTAAAGTGTCCCGATCATAGGAAACCGATTTTCTGTGCTTGATGACCAAGATTTATCACCTCACCTTCTTGGAGAACTCAGTGGCTTTCTGTTCACTCTCTTCCACTTTGGCCTTGTCAACCAGCGCATCTATCGAGAGACAGAGAGGGAGACATTGCTACGATTAGCGTATTTTATTAATATGCTTAGAACTGTGCGAATTACAAAGTAGCAGTAAAATCAGAGCGCCCATATGATTTAATGACCTTCACTGGATAAAGGAGGAGGCTGATTGGATTGAGGTCTTTTGCAAACAGGACTATAGTCTTAACAATTTAAGTTAAACAAGTAGAAATGTAGAGATTAAAAAAAACCTAAAGAATTACAAATAATCTGGTTGCCTCTTAACAAAAATCAATGGGTCTGATAAACTATTAGCAAGAGCCAACACCAAGTGTGAATTCCAAAGTAATGATCCTTACTGGATAAAGGAAGAGGCTGATTGGATGTTACGATGGTGCACATGTATTCAGATTGAGGTCTTTTGCAAACAGGACTATAGTCTTAACAATTTAAGTTAAACAAGTATAAATGTAGAGATAAAAAAAACTAAAGAATCACAAATAATCTGGTTGCCTATTAACACAAATCAATGGGTCGGATAAACTATGAGCAAGAGCGAGCAATTGTGACCAGACAATTTTGTGTGAAACGGTCACACAAAAAAGTAGCAAATTATGACAAATTATCTATTATGTTGCTGTGACCATAACCTATAAAAAGAGTCCTGCCCTACCTGCTGTCTGCTCCATTAAGGTGCCTTTTCCAAGCACAAAAGAATAGGTACAATTATTTGCCATTATATGTCACATTGTGAAATGTTGCAAATAAGGATTTACCTAGTTCTGATGCATAATATCGCATTCAACAGGAAAATGCATTGTGAATTATTGTTTAATGGTTGCACTAGTAAAATGTCACAGTCTGCCCTACTTTAATGTCACAGCGCAGAGAGTTTATCAGGCCCAATGTATTTGTTACATACGGTTAGCATACAAGCCTTTTGTGTAATTTCCTGCACAGTAATAACTGGGAAGGTAAAAGGCAGCACAGTGAGCTATACATAATGACGTCTGTCTAAGGCTGCATTCACATATAGTGTTTGCGGATCTGTGGGACAAAAACGCTAATATTTTTCAATCCGCACGGAGGCCGCTCATTTGCGGCTATCAAATAGCCGTGAACATGCAGAATTCACTGGATTATCGCGCTTGTACTATTTCGGGGGCAGTGCGATTTTGCCGTACCAATGGTCTAAACGAAGCCCATTGAAGTGCATTGTATTGTCTGTTTAGAGTGGCACCATGCATATCCGTACAGCCGAATACCCACGGACAGCTGCTCAGGTGAATGGAGCCTAACAAAGCAAGATTCCCTAAAGGAAGAACGTGCAAGGTGATGATGTTGTGAAAATGCTGTTGCTCATTTGTTGCCCGATCAGAGGCTTGAGCTGGTCCTGGACCAGAGCGCATTGCACAACTGGAGTGGAGCCTGCCAAAGGGTCTGTGACTGTGTTATATATGTCAATGGTGCCTGGCTGGCTACACAGAACTGCAAACTCTTCGGTAGGTAAAAGAGTTCATATATGGAGTATGTACACTGCCTGCCAAAAAAAAAAAGGTCACACACTAATATTTTGTTGGACCTCCTTTAGCTTTGATTACGGCACACATTCACCATGGCATGGTTTTGATAAGCCTATACAATGTCACAACATTGAATTTTGTCCAGAGTTGCATTCAATTTCAACCAAGATCTTGTAGTGATGATGGGAGAGTCGGGGCACTGTGTAAAGTCTTCTCCAGGACATCCCAAAGATTCTCAATGGGGTTAAAGTCTGGACTCTGTGGTGGCCAATCCATGTGTGACAATGATGTCTCGTGCTCCCTGAACCAATCTTTCACATTCTGAGCCCGATGAATCCTGGCATTGTCATCTTGGAATATGTCCAATGTGCCATCAGGGAAGAAAAAATCAATTGATGGAAAAACCTGGTCATTCCGTATATTCAGGTAGGCAGCTGACCTCATTTTTTGGCCACATAACATTGCTCTGACCTATTTGCTTAGCTAATTCCAGGCTATGGCTTTTTTTTTGGACAGGCACTACATAAGGCTGTTGGTCTAGAGACCGGCCATAAATTGCATCGGTCACTGTATGTCTGGCCTGTTGTGCTGATCATAAAGCCTTGCTGATTTTCTTTCATATTGTAAGTCTACCAGACAGAACCTGTCTAACAGAAAACAATTGTGTCTATACAGTATCTATTGGTCTGAACCACCTACAATTTCCTGGGAGTCAGAGGTCATATCATGTTTTTACTGGTTCACAACATTTCCTTTCAGATCATGAATTAACAGTACTTAAAGTGACAGTAAACTCAGGAGTTACATTTTAAAAGTACTTTCAATTACCTTAACTATTAACAATTCATCTTATTTGTGTATCACTCAGCTGTAGATCCTCCAATCATCTCTGAATTGGTGCTGACACTGTCCTTCCTTCGGGGGGAGGGGGGGGCTACTTTTGTTCCCCATGGTCCCTGTGGGTGTTGTAAAGTAGTCACCGCTCCAAGCTCGCTCCCGGGATGGACTACAATCTCATGTTTAGTTGACTAATTTGTATTGAGATTGTAGTTCATCTCGGTAGTGAGGTCAGAGCAATGACTACTTTACAACACACACAGGAACCATGGGGAACAAAAGTAGCCCCCCCCTCCCCCCGAAGGAAGGACAGTGTCAGCACCAATTCAGAGATGATTGGAGGATCTACAGCCGAGTGATACACAAATAGGATGAATTTTTGTTAATAGTTAAGGTAATTTAATATACTTTTAAGATTTAACTCCTGAGTTTACTGTCACTTTATTTATAAAAAATTTTTTACATATTTAATATTTATATTTAACATTCAGATGTGATTAGGTAATGCTAACAAGTCTCCTAGCAATTGATGCAAATTGCAAATTTCAACACCAGGTCCGCACCAGCTCCATTTTGAACGTAACATTTCAGAGTGTCTGGATTCAAGTCCTGGCTCATCCCACCAGCAACCAAGAAGCATGCTGGGACGTGATGTTCCATAGTAAGTACAAATCTCTGGGGTGCAAACACATGATCTGTAAGTCTGGGTGGGACTGATTGGACTGCACAGATTCAGGTGATAGACTTTTCAAGTTTTACTTAGGGCTGCAACAAAACCTGAAAATGGAACTGCGTGCTATTTGAATTATTTGGGTTTTTCTATTTTTTCGTCACTCACCTACTAAATGAGAAAAATCTACGTCCAATCTCCCTTTGTATTTGAAGTCGGGATCCATTCCTCCGCATTGCAACACGATCTGGCCGACGCATTCATCGATTACCTTGTAGTACTGAGGTCTGATATCAAACAAAATGATGAGAAACGTATCATTTAACGCCAAGCAAAGATACTGAACATTGTGAGGTTTCATTGTGTAATAAGATAAATTAATAAATAGAGTATATATTTCTGTGCGCATTTAATACTATAAGGAGCAAAATTATATATTACCAGAGTAGAGCATTTACGCTTTTCAAAGCGATATATTGCAACTTGCTACTTTTTCTTATATGTGGTGTTTGCATTCGCTTTTTCAGGCCTTTTCCCTTTATTTTCACTAGGTAATCCTGAGAATACCATACTTCCCCATCTCTCATGGCAACCTTTGCTCCTGCACAGTATCTATGGAGGAAGCCATGATGTCACACTGGCTGGACTTCAAACATGTCTGCATTTGTTCATGGGAATCTTATCCTGAATATTGAGACATTTTTTTAGACTTCAGTTATCACTTGTAGGCAGGGCCCTCCTTTTGATGATTGTCTCAGGCCGCATCTCTTTGGGTCATGTGAGGGGGGCAGACAGAGAGGCATGGCCGATCTGCTGCACAATGTTTGCAGTGCGCCCGCCACCCCCTTTCTGGCCAGAGCATCCCAGGTTGCTAAGAGCCAGGTGGGAGCTGCGTGAGGGCCATACACATCTCCCCACCCAGCAATTAGCAACCTGGGATGCTCTGGCCAGTGTCCCGACCAGCTCCTGCCAACCAGTAATGTCACTGCTTGCCAGGAGCTGGGCGGGACATTGTCAGACCGGATTTGATGGGAAATCCAAATTTGTACAACTGTCTCTGATAACAGAATAGAGTTTGAATCTTCCAACGAAGACACTTATTCATGGGACAACCATCAACGAGGGGCTTTCCCTCACTTTAGAGAGAGTTCCACTTACTTCTTTTCATGTCTATAGGACAGGAAGGAAACAGAACTCTGCCAAATGAGCCACGAATAAAAATAAACTCTTTATTCTATCCAAAATGAAGAAAAATAGTTTGGTTTTGGATATACTTTAACTTCTATAGCTGGGTTATTGAAGTTAAACCCACTTAGACCTCAACTATAAGATTAATAATAGCCCTTGTATTGGACATAATAAGTGGTTCCAATATTGCTTACTGCGATGGAAAATGTGTTTTACTTCCCTCTGAAAAGATATTTCTTTCAGCAGCAGCTTAGCTCACTTTCAGACGGAACCATTTTTTCATACGTTTGTGTAAAATTATGTCAAATCAAATTATAGTCCTTCATCCAATCATCCAGTTCAGAAGATCCGTTCAGAGTAAGACAATGCGTGGCCCTATGTTCTTCGGGAGGAGGTGCGCTCAGCATACAGGCTGAGGCAATAAAAGCGTTTCGCCGTCAGCTGGCGAATAATAAAAATAACAATAGTCGGGAGGAACAGACACTTAGGGCTGGAAATTCGTTTTATGGGAGGGAGAAGAAAAATGGTGATGGCTGCGTACAATGCAGAATCTACAGATGACTGTATTTGAATATTCAAAATTCACATCTGTCCCTTTTGTTATCTCGCGCACGTCTCGGAGGGATGAAAGATACGTTCCAGCCGGCGTTGGGAGGCTGTGTGATGTGAATTATGTGGAACGGGGGACCCAAATCTGTTTCTGAGCCTCCGAGATGATATAAATAGACATACGTCAGTGAAGGATGTCTTCATTAGGAGGGGGATAGAGAACCTAAAATCCTGAGTAATATTTGACTTCCTTCGGGTGATGGCAATTAAGGCTTCATTCACATGTAAAAAAGTGTGCAGTTTTTATAGATAATGAATTAAACAATGCACAACAAAGTCTTCCACTGATAAAAATAAATATAACTGTGGAATTT